GTTTCAAATCTTTGCTCAAATGTCACCTTCTTTTCTAACCATCTATTTAAAATTGCAAAGTATCCCCTCCACCCTTCATTTTTAGCCATAGCATTTACCACCATCCGACATATTTCGTTTAACTGATTTGTCTGTCTCCCCATATTCATTTTCCCATATGTAATTTCAATAGGGCGGGGAATTTTGTCTGCTTTTCCATCGCTGATTCCCAATACCCACATCCTTGACTTGCACACAGTATTTCTTGAATCAATGAATTGAGACTGACATTTTAGCCATAATTATGGAGTTATAGTCCTCCCAGGAGATATGACCACATAGTTAGCTTCCTTTTGAAGAAATGTCTAAATTTGGAGAATGCTCAGTTAAGACATTTCTGTTTCTCTTGAGTGGTGATTCTAACTCAGAAAGTGATGAGAAGTTCTTATGCACAAGAAATCAACAGTAATTTTGTCATTTTTGGTGTGGATCCCATTTCAGGAGTTAAATGGAATTTCTTCAAACTGTAATATAATTTTGCCTTCAGTGAGGTGTGTCAGCATTCAGGCTATCCACTAGTTATATAAGCAATCCTTTACAAACCCTTAGCTGCCTCAACATTTCCCATTAGTGTCCTCAAAAGATCTCCAGTCCTATGTTTAAGTAAATATTACCTTTACAGAAACTTAGGGCTAGAAGTTTCATCATAAAGCATCCAAGCATCCCTTATTTGAAGAGTACACCCTAAAAGGCAGCACAACTAGGTTACAGTATCTATTCTTATCACTTATTAGGCTCTCTGATCTTGACTAAATCACCTAATTCCTTCGGTCCCAAGATGCTCTTTTTGTAAAATGGAGATATAGTCCCGGGGCCGAAAAATCCCTTCGGAGATCTGATATTCTGACTTGAGATTAAAAGACCTATAATCTATGTCAAGTACATAAAGGATATCTAATGAAGAAACAGGAAGATTGTATATACAAGCCCAGCACAGAGAAGGGGCTAAACTGCATCACATTTTGCAGGGATCTGTGTCCTGCATATGTTTTTATACCTTTACTTCATCCATACAATGATGTAAAACATGTCATAATCATAGACTAAAATTGAGGGGACCTTAAAATGTAGGCATCTTACCCAATTTCTACTCTTCTTCCTCTGACAAGTGGAGGCTGGATGGCTTTCTACAGCTGACACAAGGCTTAGTATTAGAGGTCAAGAGGAAAACACTTGTATACAAGAAGCCAGCTCTGCTGAATATGATTTTACACTATTAATGATGATAATTTTAAAACAGCAAAGACTTAAAATCATAGCAGAAAGGAGAAACTCTCAAAGTCTTACCTCAAGATTCACCATAACAAAATTATGGGAAAGTTCTGAAATTTCTGTAGATTCAGCAAATTTGGGCTTTAAAGCTAGGAGGGGAAAAAGATTTTAGGATAGATGAAAACATCATTGTCATAGCCAAACCCTAATTTGCTGAGTTGCTTCAGATAAATCAAACTTTTTTTTTTTTTTTAACTCCTAAGAACCAGAAATTAGGACACCTGAATTCTGGTCATGCTTCTGCCACTTACTCACACAGGTATTATCACTGGAATGACTGACTTCGTTTCTCTGGCTTTTATCCCATTTATAAAATATGGAAAATGGCATACAAATGAAAAAAAATTATTTCTATTTGCTTTCTATAGCCACATTTCAATAATTTCTATTGAAGTAATAGACAAAGACAACAGAGTAACATCACACACATATATATATTAAGTACACTAATTACACTAATTTTATACTCCTTTTCCAACTAGGATTCTGCTGAGTGTAGCATACCCAACAAAAGAAAAAAACCTGACTGGGAAGTAGCAAAGTGGCACAGCAGAAAGAATATATGCCACAAATAACCTTGGGTTCTAATTTGGTTCCCACCTCCTCCAGGAAGACTTCCCTAATCACTTCTCATGTCTCTGTATATTTCAGTTTCCTGTATTTACTGTCCATATGACTACTGTAGCACTTAATCCTATACTCTCCCTAACCATATCTCAATTGCTTCACTCTCTAATCCCTTGCATAGGTAACTGCAAACTTCTTGAGAGCAGGGAATCTATGTCATATATTTCTTTGGTATTCCTTAAAGCTATCAGCAGTGCTGGGACAAAGTCTGTGCTAATATTTTTTAAGTGTTAATATTTAAGAACACATTGGAGGTTTGATTATTTGCACTTACCTTTGCAAGCTCCACACCAGGACTTATGGATAATCACCATCAGAGGCAAGCCACTTAAAAAGAAAACGAAGAAATTACAGTCTAGTAATTCCACTTCTTTTAAGTCTATCCTAATAAAATGACCACCTTATAAAGACAAAGGTTAATGTATAATGATGTTCATGTATGATTTAGACTAAGAAAATTTTTAGGCAACCTAAATATTAAATATAGATTATTGTAATACAATTATTGGTAAGTTCTGACATTCCTGTAAATTCTGCAAATTCGGGTTTTAAAGCTAGGGAGAAAAGACTAGAAGAGAAGAAAACATCAAATTACAGTACTTCTAAATGTTATGGTTATATAACCATTGAAAATGTTAATAGAACTTTTCATTGGTATGTCAAATTAAAAATTAGAATAGGGGCGCTTGGCTGGCTCAGTCAGTAAACCTGTGACTCCTGATTTTGGAGTCATGAGTTCAAGACCCATGTAGGGCAGAGAGCTTACTTTAAAATAAATTTAAAGAACAAACATGGGGTGCCTGCGTGGCTCAGTCAGTTAAGCATCTGCCTTCCGCTTAAGTCATGATCTCAGGTCCTGAGATAGAGCCCTTTGTGGTGTTCAGCAGGGAGTGTGTTTCTCTCTCCTCTGCCCTTCTCCCTGTTCGTGTTCTCTAATAAATAAATAAAATCTTTAAAAATAAACAAATAAATCCTTACAACAATCCTAAGGTATATACTATTAATGTTCTCATAAAAGAAAGGAGAAAACGTAGACTAAGACCCTAAGAGATTAAATATTTGACCACATAAAATCTAGGCTCTGCCACTTACTAGCTAATTCATTAATTCTGACTCCAAAACCAATGTTCTTTCTGACCATTACTGTCTACTTCAATTTAGGATGGCAATCCACAACCAATAATCAACTAACTGAATCAGAGAATAGAGGTTGGAAAAGGCCTTAAAGGTTGCCTCGTCCAAGCCTCCATTTCACCCAGGAATTCTATATCATCTAATATATCATATGTAATTATAACACATCCAATATATCTAGTGTAACAAAAGGTGGTCCAGATGGCCTGATGAGCAAGAAACACATCACCAACCAAGGCAGCCCATCCTTTTAATAGCTCTATGCATTACAGAGCAGTTAAGAATGCCTTGCTCCCTCCTCTCCCAAGCAAACTCCTATTTATCCTTCTAGAGAAGGGATCAGCAAAATATAGTCTGTAGACCTGATCCAGCCCACTGCCTGCTTCTGTAGAGCTGTAAGATACAAATGTTTTTTTTTTCATTCCTAAAAAGAAATGAAAGACACATATCAAAACATAATAGCAGTTATCCCTAGTTAATGGGATTGTGGATTTAACTATACTTTTTCTGTACTTTCCAATTTTTCTATAATTAAATGTAATTTTTGTAATCAGGGAGGAAAAAAAAATTTTTTTTTTCAAATGATGAGCAACATAATCCACCTGAACCAGTCTTGGCCAGATGAAGCTCTTAAGCTCTCAAGGCTCAAATGCCAACTTGTAGGAGAGTCCTACGTAAGCAGCCATTGGCTTTCTCCATCATCCAACCCCTGTATCATCACACCACCATACACTGTATAAGATGATCACTGCATTTAATACATTGAACTCTATTAATTACCTGTCTCCCTACAACAGACTTGGGAGTTTCATTTTTAAATGGTTGAAAAACAAATCTAAAAAATAGTACCTTGTGATATTAAAATTCAATATAATTCACCTTCCAGTGTAGTTTTATTAAAACACACTCATAGTTGTATACTTATTGTATATGGCTGTTCTTATGATACAATGTGCTACACTTAATAAGCTGCAACAGAGACCTTATGGCCTACAAAGCCTAAAATATTTACTATCTGACCCTTTGATGACCCATGTTCTAGAGTGACAGTTCGAATGTTAACCCCTCTATGAAACCTTCTCAAAATTACCTTCTGTCAACAGTTAGCCGTTTCCTCCTCTGGGGTTCCAAAGCATTCTGTCATCATTCTGCAACTGCCAACCCTTTTCATCCCATAATCATGTTTACTTGTCTGTACTTTTCACCAAACTATTACTTTCTCAAGGGCAAAGACTATCTAATTCATCTCTGAAAATCACAAATGCTGGCAAGGTAGGTACCCACCATTTGTTTAAGGAAATCAATGGAAAAATGAAAAGAAGCTTAAAGTGACATCTGCCTTGAAATACAAAATGAAGCACTATAGTTAAAGAAGTTGTCATAACTACTCTAGGTTAGACTAAATATCTAGTCTCTTACTAAGCACTATTAAAGTACTATTTTGGTCAAAGGCATAATAGTGATACTCGTGTATCTAAATATTACATTATGTAAATTACATGAATAACATTAAGTTACATTAAGTGAAAAAGATTCCAGCAGACTTTCTTCTTCTAAAAGATTTTATTAGATGAAATAATCTAGTAGTTATGTCTTTCACTTCCACTAAAACCAAAGCTTCCCAAGGCCAGAAACCAGTGGATTTATCTGTGACCCCTGGCCCCAGATAGGGTGGACTAACAAAAAGGCACAGTACTCAAAAAATTGTTTGTGGTATGAACAAAGGGACAGTGCAGATGCAGAACTGGGCCATCTTCAGTTCTTGTTCCTAATTGTTTTAAAACTCATCCAGTCTGCTCTCCCACAATTCAGATGGGGGAGATCAACAGTGTGTGATACCCCAAGTAGAACCCAACCTAAACAAACCGTGTCCACCTGAGCACTGTCCCCTGGAGAAATTTGCCAAGATCCTCCAAGCCAGTTCTCCATTTTTTTCTAGTCTCAATTTATGCTGTTAACTCAAGGCCTGGCATACAGGAAAGCATGAGTAAATCAGTCACAACAGCTCTAGTAAGACACACCAAAATGCTCTGCAGACCCTGATATTACCCTACCAAGAAAAACAGAGAGCAGTGGAGGTTAGGTGAGGAGCCAAGTCTTCCCCACCCCCCACCCACTCCCTCTGGTTAGTGCAGGCTCTGGCTCAGATACTGCAGAAACATGTTGGCCAGCTGAGGCAGGTTCTCATTGTTGGGATGCATTTTGGTGTAGGAAATAAACTGGCGACGGAGGCGACTGAGTTCTGCCATTGTCAAAGGCCGGGTAAACTGCAGGTGCTCCGTGGTGCCAGGAAGCTTAAGTAAGTCTCCAGGGACCGCGCTCTTCTGCGCTTCCATCAGACCTGCCAACACCTTGCTCGTGACCTGATCCAACTGGTGCAGAAAGCTGCCAGACGCAAGGGGCTGAGACTGTGTAGACTGATGGGGTGGGGGAGCTTGGTTCTCAAACAAGGCAGCCCGTATCTCTGCTAGGGGCAACGGCTCTTCCAAGCCCACCAAGGTGAACAGGGGCCGATCCCAGCGGTTCCGAGAGTCGGGAGCCTCAAAGCGCAGCGTTAGGGCTTCCATAAGTTCTGGAGGATAAAAGACACTAGACACACGCTTTGCAGATTTATCTGGAGTCACAAAAGCTGGAAGATCTGGCGCCTTGGTTTCCTCCTGCTCCAGTTCCTTAGGTACGTCGGCCTGGGTTCTTCCACTTACTACAAAGTCCACTGTTTGGGGTTCCCTGAGGACACTACTGCCAGCCGCCAGAGGTCTCTCACTTTCCTCAGTGCGCGGCTTCCAACTCACACTGACGTTCTGGCCTTGGTTGTCTGCCGCATCCGCCACCCGAGGTCCCAAGCTCAGACCGCCCGGCCGTATACAATATACCAAGCAGAGCGGGGTGCGCGCCGCCCGCGCGAGGCAGTAGAGCTCGTAGCGGAATCCCTTGATGTAGTTAAGCGAGTCGAGAATGACCACATCGTGGCGACTCAAGCGCCGCTCCACCGCGGCTCGCAGAGCCCCGCGCAACGCCTTCTCACGGGCCGAATCGCGGTACACTGTCGCGTCCTCCGTGCCCAGCACCGCCGCGTCATCCACCACGTGCACCGCACGGCCCTCGGCCGCTAGCGCCTCACGGAGCTCCTCCGCGCGCCGGCTCTTGCCGCTATACGGCAGCCCGCAAAACACGACGAGAGGCATCCTTACAGGGCGCGGCCATGTGCATCCGCTAGCGTCAACTTCCGGGGTGTCGACGTCACGGACGCAAACCGGAAGGGCAAACAGCACGGCCTGACCTCTCGACTCTTAAAGGACCTACTGTTGCTATGGAAACACGAGTTCTACTCCAACTAAATCTAGGATCTGTTGTCTCAGAAAGGTGATGGAAACTAGAATGACATCAGTTATTTATGTCAAGTAGGCATCAAAAGAATGTGATCTCCCTGTGGCCAAAGACTATGCCCAACCATTTATAATGGGGCCTTAATGAGCATTAAACATTGCAAAAACAATCAGCACTATATTTAGCATACAAAAAGACCATTCATAAACGCTAGTTCCCCTTCACACCTTACACCCAGTGACTCTCAGTAACTGTTTACTCAACAGCCATTTCAATCATTAAACGTCTCCAAGACTGGGAATTCTGAAATGAACATCAGTTCCCCCGTAGGAGGTTAAGGGTCTGAATGGGAAAAATCAAGTACCTACAAGCTGAGTAAGATAATACTATAATGGATAGAGTAGGTTGCGATGTAAAAATAGAGGAGAAAAAAAAACTGCGCCCAAAAATCACTTAAGACTTTAGGAATAGGAACTTAAAAACTAACAAATTTTTCTCCTGGGTAAGGTTGCCTGCTAAAATACAGGATGCCTAGTTAAATTTGAACTTCAGATAAGCAACAAAAAAGTTTTTAATATGTCTCAGATATTGAATAGGACATATTTAAAATTACTTCTTGTTTACCTGAAATTCAAATTTAACTGGGCATCCTTATTTTTGTTAAATCTGGCAACCCTATTCTACAGAATGTGTGAGACTCAGAGCCATGAAGCTGTAGGATCCATTCTAGCAAAAACAAGCACAATACAGTTGGTCCTTGAAAAACATGGGTTTGGATTGCACAGGTACACTTGTAATGCAGATTTTTTTTTTTTACAGCACAGTACTATAAATGTATTTTCTTTTCCTTATGATTTTCTTAACATTTTCTTTTCTCTACCTTACTTTGTTGTAAGAATATAGTATGTAATACATATAACATATAAAATATGTGTTAATTGACTGTTTATGTTATCGGTTGGCTTCCAGTCAACAGATTACTGGTGGTTAAGTTTTTTGGGACTCAAAAGTTATACGCAGATTTTGACTAAGCGGGTGGTCAGCACCCCTAAACCCCCAGCATTGTTCAGAAGTCAACTGTAATTTTGTAGTTGCAGAAGTGTGTTTCTGTGCAAGTATGTGTGTATATAAAGTAGATGCACATATATTGGGTCTTTGTGTCTCTCCAGTACAGTATAGTAGAGAATATTCAAGTATTGGCTCTGTTACTTACTAACTGTGTAATTTATTGACAAGTTGTTTAATCATTGTGTGTCTCAATTTCCTCTCTCATAAAATAATTACAACAGTTCTTATTTCACAGGCTGAACCAACCTCATAGGTTATAAGGATTAAATAAATTAATGCATATAAAGTACTTAGATCAGTGCTTTAGCCTTCCCTCCCCTGCTCTGCCTTTTCTTCCTCCTTTATCGGTTATTTGCATCAGTGCATAGACTAAAACTAATTGAAAGTTAAGACTGTTCAACTTGAGGGGCGCCTGGGTGGCTCAGTCATTGGGCATCTGCCTTTGGCTTGGGTCATGGTCCCAGGGTCCTGGGATCCAGCCCCGTGTTGGGCTCCCTGCTCCGCGGGAAGCCTGCTTCTTCCTCTCCCACTCCCCCTGCTTGTGTTCCCTCTCTCGCTCTCTCTCTAATAAATAAATAAAATCTTAAAAAAAAAAAAGACTATTCAACTTGAGACTGTTAGGCAGTATGGTTTACTGGTTGAGTGCAGGCTCTGAAACCAGAATGCCTGGGTTTGAATCTTGGCTCCACTGCTTACTACCTGTGTGATCTGAAGCAAGTTACTTAACTGCTCTGTGTCTTAGTTTTCTCGTCTCTAAAATGAAGGTAACAGCAGTACCCACCTCAAAAGAGCTGTTGTGAGAATTAAATGAGTTAATTCACATAATTCAGTGTCTGGTGCATAATAAGCATTTAGTAGTAGTAGGAATAGTGGTATTGTTATCATCAGGCAACTACTCAGTTCTGGCTCTGTTTTGGCATATCCCTTCACCTGAAATTAATGTTAAGGTGATGACTGGAAAATGTTTTACCAGTATAAATAACCTATTCAATGTATTTTTTTAAAAAGTAATCTCTAGGCCCAACATGGGGTTGAACTCTCCACACTGAGATCAAGAGTTGCATGCTCTACCTGATGGAGCCAGCCAGGTGCCCCTTCCACCATAAATAAACCAAAACCATATCTTGTACCTGGCAGCTGCTTCCTTCTTCCCATCTTCTAGTGTCCTCCAATGAATGTGATCTCCAAAACCTGGAAGGAAAGAGCCTTATAAACATTTACCCGTGAATAAAGGGCAAAGACCCAAAAAAGAAACATGGCATGTTCACAAGATACGCATAAAAAAGCTTTTGTCTGTCAAGAGCATGGTGTTCAAGTCCCAGCTGCACCACTTTCTGGATGTACGGGACCATGAACAATCCCATACCTTAAACCTCAGTTTTCTTTCATACCTATAAAATAGAGATAACACCACCTAATTCATAGTTTTGTTTTTTTTTTTAAAGATTTTATTTATTTATTTGACAGAGATAGAGAGAGAGAGCACAAGCAGGCAGAGAGGCAGGCAGAGGGAGAGGGAGAAGCAGGCTCTCCACCGAGCAGGGAGCCTGATGCGGGACTCGATCCTGGGACTCCAGGATCATGACCTGAGCCGAAGGCAGTCGCTTAACCAACTGAGCCACCCAGGCACCCTAATTCATAGTTTTTAAGGAGATTAAATAATGGCTGTGAATTGCTTCGTAAACTAACACTGAATATGCAAATAATACTATAAGAATGAATGAGAATTTTCCACAGAGTAAACATAAAGTAGGTCATACAAATCATTACTAGTTGGAGACAATACAGCAACATAGGTTTAGGGTCAGAAATACATGGGTATGTGACTCCACTTCCTATGAAATGTGTCAATTTCATAATAGGTATTATTATCTGTACTTAGCGAATTTACTAATATCTACCTTCAAGTATTGGTGTAAAGATTAAATGAGATAATGTATTTAAAGGTACTCTTATTATTCCCCTCACTTCTGCCAGAGTGATCTTTTAAAATCACATCTCTGCCAGGTAAAAACTTTCAGAGGCTTTCCAATTCCCTAAAAAGAAAGGTCAAAATCTGGTAGCAGGATTTACAAAGCCTTTCAGAATATGGCATCTGCCCATCTCCTCAGGCTCACTTTCCAGGCTCTTTCTAAAATCCTATATACAAAACTACTTTCATTTCCTTACACTGGCAGCCTCCTTGGTCCTTTCTTCCACCCTCACTTCCCATTCATTCCTAGAGGGCATCTTTCCTTCTGGTAAATCTTCCCTGACTCCCGGGGCGTCTGGGTGGCTCAGTTAAGCATCCAACTTCAGCTCAGGTCATGATCCCAGGTCTTGGGATTGAGCCCAGGGTCAGGCTCTCTGCTCAGCCCGGAGTCGGCTTCTCCCTCTGACCCTCCCCCTGCTCTCGGGAGCATGTGTGTGCTCTCTCTCCCTCTCTCCTTCTTAAATAAATAAAATATTAAAAAAGAAATCTTCTCTGACTCCCAAAGCACCACCTTCTTGCCCCAGCACAGCACTTCCCAGGCTGAACTGTAAATGTTTATGTGCCTGTCTCCCTCACTCTAAAAGGAATTCCCTAAGGGCTGAGGCCATATCTCTTATTCCTTCCAGTTTCCCCAGCATTGAAGCACTACACATGGCCATAGTAAGTGCTCCATTATATTTATTGAATAAATGAATCTTATTTAGGTCATATCATGTAAATGACTTAATTTTATATCTGGAAAATGTTGAGTGATCATAATAATGCTGTCATTTACTGGTCACCTTATATGTTCTCGTGTACATGTTATCTCACTTAAATTTTGCCTGAACAATAACCCTTTCTTCTTTTTTTTTAATTTGTCAGAGAGAGAGAGAAGAGAGAGAGAGAGAAAGCACAAGCAGGGGGAGCAGCAGGCAGAGGGAAAAGCAGGCTCCCCCTGAGCAAGGAGCCCAATGCAGACTTGATCCCAGAAGCCTGGGATCATGACCTGAGCCAAAGGCAGATGCTTAAATGACTGAGCCACCCAGGCGTCCCACAATAACCCTTTCAATATTCCCCTATACTTTGTTTTCTCATCAGTAAAACAGGAATAATAATATGTACATCTCATAAGATTGTTACTGAATATTACGTAAGAAATACTATATATGGGGCACCTGGATGGCTCCGATGGTTAAGTGTCTGCCTTCAGCTAGGGTCATGATCTCCAGGTCCTGGGATCAAGCCCGCATCTGGCTCCCTGCTCAGCGGGGAGCCTGCTTCCCTTCTCTCTCTGCCTCTCCCCACCTGCTTGTACTCTCTGTCTCTCTCTCTCTCTCTCTCTCAAATGAATAAATAACATCTTTAAAAAAATGCTATATATATTATCTTAGCACACTGCTCAGCATTTTATAAATGATCAGTACTTAGCAGCTTTGTTATTCTTTACAGCTTGAGACTTCTGAGGCTCAGAGAAGTTACACAACCAGTACCAGGTCACATAGCTGGTAAATGCCCACGCTGGGATTTAAACTTGAATTTTATGACTTCTCAGTTATTATACTATCTTTCAGGCCTTTCTTTCCTTGAAATAAATTCAAATTTCCACCATTGTTACCGCAGGGGAATAAAGAGATCATCCAGATTAGCAAAGGGAGGCAGTGTCCAAACTAATCATCATCACTTTTCATTCCCAACAGCAGTGAGTTGCTAGCCAAGAGAAAATGTGTCATTTGCCTAGGGCCCAAAGTCCAATCCTGATGAGTCAATGATTAAGTGAGAGTGAAACTGGGAGAACTGGAAGGTGCCTAATGTGACTGATCATTCTACCTGTCAATACCTAAACTCAGGAAACTGAATCCTGCTTTGGTGGGATGCCTAACTAGACAGTCTGGAGGGATATCCACCTACAAAACAATCAAATCCCAGATAAAATGGACTTTCAAAATGTATTCACTGGGTT